TCCCCCCCCCCCCCCCCCCCCCCCCGCCGCAGGTTTTACTGGCCCCTCATCATGCTGCTGCTGATGGTGGGGAACCTCATCATCCTGCCGGTGGGCATCACCTTTTTCAAGGACGAGAACACGCCGCCCTGGATCGTCTTCAACGTGCTCTCGGACACCTTCTTCCTGGCCGACCTGGTGCTGAACTTCCGCACGGGCATCGTGGTGGAGGACAACACGGAGATCATCCTGGACCCGCGCACCCCCTCATCATGCTGCTGCTGATGGTGGGGAACCTCATCATCCTGCCGGTGGGCATCACCTTTTTCAAGGACGAGAACACGCCGCCCTGGATCGTCTTCAACGTGCTCTCGGACACCTTCTTCCTGGCCGACCTGGTGCTGAACTTCCGCACGGGCATCGTGGTGGAGGACAACACGGAGATCATCCTGGACCCGCGCACCATCAAGAGGAAGTACCTGAAGAGCTGGTTCCTGGTGGACTTCATCTCCTCCATCCCCGTGGACTACATCTTCCTCTTTGGCTGGGGAGATCCAGGGGGTTCAGAAGTCCTGGCCAGGGGAGGGGCATTTTGGGGGTCCCTGGCTGGGGAGATCCAGGGGGTTCAGAAGTCCTGGCCAGGGGAGGGGCATTTTGGGGGTCCCTGGCTGGGGAGATCCAGGGGGTTCAGAAGTCCTGGCCAGGGGAGGGGCATTTTGGGGGTCCCTGGCTGGGGAGATCCAGGGGGTTCAGAAGTCCTGGCCAGGGGAGGGGCATTTTGGGGGTCCCTGGCTGGGGAGATCCAGGGGGTTCAGAAGTCCTGGCCAGGGGAGGGGCATTTTGGGGGTCCCTGGCTGGGGAGATCCAGGGGGTTCAGAAGTCCTGGCCAGGGGAGGGGCATTTTGGGGGTCCCTGGCTGGGGAGATCCAGGGGGTTCAGAAGTCCTGGCCAGGGGAGGGGCATTTTGGGGGTCCCTGGCTGGGGAGATCCAGGGGGTTCAGAAGTCCTGGCCAGGGGAGGGGCATTTTGGGGGTCCCTGGCTGGGGAGATCCAGGGGGTTCAGAAGTCCTGGCCAGGGGAGGGGCATTTTGGGGGTCCCTGGCTGGGGAGATCCAGGGGGTTCAGAAGTCCTGGCCAGGGGAGGGGCATTTTGGGGGTCCCTGGCTGGGGAGATCCAGGGGGTTCAGAAGTCCTGGCCAGGGGAGGGGCATTTTGGGGGTCCCTGGCTGGGGAGATCCAGGGGGTTCAGAAGTCCTGGCCAGGGGAGGGGCATTTTGGGGGTCCCTGGCTGGGGAGATCCAGGGGGTTCAGAAGTCCTGGCCAGGGGAGGGGCATTTTGGGGGTCCCTGGCTGGGGAGATCCAGGGGGTTCAGAAGTCCTGGCCAGGGGAGGGGCATTTTGGGGGTCCCTGGCTGGGGAGATCCAGGGGGTTCAGAAGTCCTGGCCTGGGGGAGAGGCATTTTGGGGGTCCCTGGCTGGGGAGATCCAGGGGGTTCAGAAGTCCTGGCCAGGGGAGGGGCATTTTTGGGGGTCCCTGGCTAGAGAATCCAGGGGGGTTCTGAAGCCCTGGCCAGAAGAGGGGCATTTGGGGACCCTGTGGCTCTTTTGGGGAGGTTCTGAGCCTTTGGGGGCTCCCGGCCC